CTGAAGGGCCCTGAAATTGATATCCAAGGCCCCAAAGTGGACGTTGACGTTCCCGACGTGGACGTTCCCGGCCCAGAGGGCAAATTCAAGCTGCCCAAGTTCAAGATGCCCAAATTCTCCATGCCGGGCTTCAGGGCAGAGGGCCCCGAGGTGGACGTGGAGCTGCCAAAAGGGGACGTGGACATTTCTGTCCCCAAAGTGGACATTGGGGGTCCTGAGGTGGAGGTGGAGCTGCCAGAGGGGAAAGTGAAGGGCCCCAAGTTCAAGATGCCCGAAATGCACCTCAAAGCACCGAAGATCTCCATGCCTGACTTTGATCTGAGCCTGAAGGGCCCCAAAGTGAAGGGGGACGTGGATGTGACTCTTCCCAAGATTGAGGGCGACCTGAAGGGCGCAGAGGTGGACATCAAAGGCCCCAAAGTGGACATCGATGTTCCTGATGTGGAGCTGCATGGTCCTGAGGGGAAACTGAAAGGGCCCAAGTTCAAGATGCCCGAAATGCACCTCAAGGGCCCCAAGTTCTCCATGCCTGATGTTGATTTCAACCTGAAGGGCCCCAAAGTGAAGGGAGAGATGGATGTGTCCGTGCCAAAGATTGAGGGCGGGCTGAAGGGCCCTGAAATTGACATCCAAGGCCCCAAAGTGGACGTTGACGTTCCCGACGTGGACGTTCACGGCCCAGAGGGCAAATTCAAGCTGCCCAAGTTCAAGATGCCCAAATTCTCCATGCCGGGCTTCAAAGGGGACGGGGTGGACGTGGATGTGAATCTCCCAAAGGGCGGCGTGGACGTGGCTGGTCCCAGTGTGGAGGTGGAGGCTCCTGAGCTCAGTGTGGATGGGAAGCTGAAAGGTCCCAAGTTCTCCATGCCCGAAATGCACATCAAAGCCCCCAAAATCTCCATGCCCGACATCGACCTGAACCTGAAGGGCCCCAAAGTGAAGGGGGACGTGGATGTGTCCGTGCCCAAGTTGGAAGGGGATCTGAAGGGCCCCGAGATCGATATCAAAGGCCCCAAAGTCGACGTGGAGCTTCCTGATGTGGAACTGGAAGGTCCTGAAGGGAAAGTGAAGGGCCCCAAATTCAAGATGCCTGAAATGCACCTCAAGGGCCCCAAAATCTCCATGCCTGACGTTGACTTCAACCTGAAGGGCCCCAAAGTGAAGGGCGACATGGATGTGAGCCTTCCCAAACTGGAAGGGGATTTGCAATGTCCGGACGTTGACCTCAAAGGCCCCAAATTGGACCTTCAGGCGCCCGACATGAAGGTCCCTGAAATGCACCTCAAGATGCCCCACGTCTCCGTCCCTGACATCGACCTCAACCTGAAGGGCCCAAAGGTGGAGGGGGAGCTGAAGGGCCCCAGTGTGGATCTGAAGGGTCCCAGTGTGGATCTGAAGGGTCCCAAAGTCGATATCGAGTGTCCTGGGGTCGACATCGACGGTCCGGAGGGAAAAGTGAAACTACCGAAAATGAAGCTGCCGAAATTTGGGCTGAAAGGAGATGCCCCCGAGGTGGATGTGGAGCTGCCCAAAGGAGAGGTCGAGCTTTCGGGCCCCAAAGTGGACATCGCTGTCCCCGATGTGAGCATCGAAGGTCCGGAAGGAAAACTGAAAGGTCCTAAAGTGAAAGTGCCCGAAATGCACGTGAGCGTGCCCAAAATCTCCATGCCCGACATCGATCTGAATCTGAAAGGGCACAGAGCCAAGGGAGGATTCGACCTCACGGCCCCAAAGATCGAAGGGAGCCTGAAGGGACCCGACATCACCGTCAAAGGCCCCGAATTTGGGGTGAAAAGCCCCGAAATGGACGTCGAGTGTCCGGAGCTGAGCATTGAAGGGCCGGAGGCGAACGTCAAGGCTCCCAAATTCAAGAAACCGAAATTTGGGTTCGGGATGAAGAGTCCGAAGGGCGACGCGAAGGTCCCAGAGGTGGAATTCCCAGAGGTGGAGCTGAGCGCGGAGTTACCCGACCTGAGCGTGGCGGCCAAAGGCAAGAAGAGCAAATTCAAGATGCCCAAACTCCACATGAGCGGCCCCAAAGTGAAAGGGAAGAAGGGAGCCTTCGACGTGAGCGTGGCGGGGGCGGAGGTGGACGTGGGTGTGAAATCCCCCGAGGTGGATGTGAGCGCGGCCGGCCCCGACGTGGCCGTAAAGTCCCCCAAAGGGAAGAAGGCCATGTTTGGGAAGATCTCCTTCCCCGATGTGGAGTTCGACCTGAAGTCGCACCGCTCCCGGGGGGACGCGGCAGCGGTGCTCCCGAAAATGGAAGGGGAACTGAAGGAGTTGGAGGTGAAGGGTCCGAGCGTCGACGTGGAGGTGGGGGCAGCGGATTGGAGCGCGAAGAAAGCCAAAGTGGCGATTCCTGGGGTGAAGGTGGAGGGGGAGCCGGAGTTTGACCTGAAAGGACCAAAAGGCCAAGTGGAAATGTGCGTTCCTGAAGGGAGGCTGAACGTGGGGCTGAAAGGACCCGAATTCGACGGGAACCTGAAAGGACCAAAGGTGAAAAGCGATGCGGAGCTCGGAGGGTCGGGAGGGCAGCTGCCCCATCTGACGGCGCCGCGCACGGAGGGCCCCGAGCTGAGCATCGGCGGCTCCGTCCCGTCCCTGGGCTGCCAGGGGGCTCAGCTCCACCTCTCCGGCCCTTCGGTGGCCGTTTCGGCCCCGGATCTCAACATGAAGGCAGATCTCGGCGGCTCCGCCAAATCCCCGGTGCTGTCGGTGGACGCGGCCGGCGTCGGCGTGGAGGGGTTGGGCGGAACCATCAAACTGCCGTCCCTCCAGCTGCCCCAGTTCGGCCTCTCCGTTAACGGGGCCGACGTCGATGGAGTCGGCGACGCCGCGTCCGACGTCCCGGCGACCAAAGCGAGCGTCCGAGGGCCGACGGCGTCGGGAGGGGGCGGCCCCAAAGATGGCGGCGGCGAGCTGTGCGCCGGCAGGGTGTCCTTCCCCAAACTGCGGGTGCCGAAATTCCACTTCTCCGAGCCGGAGGTGAAGGGCAGAGAGGTGGCGGTGGACGTGGAGTTCCCGGGGACGGAGGCGGGCGTCGCAGCGGAGCCCGAGGCGGACGATGCCAAAGGGAAGAAATCCAAACTGAAGATGCCCAAATTCGCCTTCTCCAAAGGGAAAGCGAAAAGCGGGGCGGCTCCCGGTTCTCCCGAGCTGCCCGGCTCCCCCGGGGGCTCCCGGGGCGACCTGAAGAGCTCCAAAGGCAGCCTGGGCTCGGCCGAGGGCGAGCTGGACGAGGGTTCGTCCTCCAAAGGGAAATTCTCCATCTTTAAGAGCAGGAAGACGAGGCTCCGCTCGTCGTCTTTCAGCGCCGAGCCGCCGGAGTCGGAGGGAGCGCAGGGAAAAGCCAAGTTCGGGACGTTCGGCGGCGTGGGCTCGCGGAGTAAAGGCTGCTACGAGGTGACGGGGGGCGAGGAGCCGCCCTCAGCCCCACATCAGCCCCCTTCCGCCCCACATCAGCCCTCCTCGGGTGCCGCCCGCGGGGC